TTAAGCTTGTCGTAGTTTTACCCTAGTGTTACTTTAGCTTGTCTCCATTTTAGTTTGTCACTATAGTCATCGTTTAAATTTATCAGAGCTTTTCCTTATTTTAGCTTGTCGTCATCTTGTCATCAGTTTGTCGTCATTTCATCATGTAACCATTGAAGCTTGTCATAATTTTACCTTGTCACCACTATAGCTTGTTATTTATATTATTTAAGTCTACCGTCATTTTAGCTTGTCTTTATTTAAGCTTGTCTTTTTTTATCTTGTTATCATTATAGCATTACCTAGTTATTATTTTAACTTGTGGCCATTTTGGCCAGTCGTAATTTTACCTTGTCAAACACCTATACATAAATACATAGTATTTTTTGATTTTACCTTCTTTTAATTATAAACATGACCCACGTGGTAAAATTTTTTAAAGGTCTATTTAATAAATAATCAGTGTTCATCCGTGACCCTTGACTTAACTGTTAAACTTGGACAATGCAAAGATATTAATATGATCTAAAATATTTCAGGCCAGGTAGTAGATTTTTGGGGGTGAGTAAAAGGACCCGAAAGGATTTGCTTAAATCCTGTTTATGGAGATATTAATACCCAACACCTTGTTGAAATTCCTTGCTCAGAACACCCTACACCTTTATCCCGAAACGTAACGAAACACTTAAAATTGAACCAAATCGTTAAGTTAAAGAATAAATTTTATTTATGACCCAAGAAAAACAATTTTCCGGGGTGTTCTGTATGCGAATATCCGATTGAAATTGGCATGAGCATTTTTCGATAATATTTCTGGGTTTCCCTTTCATCCACCAAATTCTTATTATGATCAATTTCCACTGTTATCTTTATTTTATTCCGAACCAACAGTAAACAGGCTCCGTCTAAACGAGCTGCCTCTCATTTGAACTCCAATTCTAATAAGTGGGTTTATGAAAATAAAAAATGAGAAAAGGAATTTTGCCAAATTGACTAAATTATTTTTCAAGTATTTTTCTTATGGTAATGCCAATTTACTTACACAATAACAAAGTAAAAAATAATGATGTCTTGTCAAATCTTCCAAAGTTTAAGAATTTTGTTTTTTTTTTGTTTAAAAAGCTTACCCTTCAACAAAACATTATTATCTCGTCAAACGCTTATTGTATGTATATTAAATCCGCATCATAATCGAGCTATTTATATATATTGGTCGCACGTGAATGTGTTTGTGCATGTTTACACACACACACACACACACATACACACACACACACACACACACACACACGCACACACACACACACATCCACCAAAATTCAAACGTTTGAAGTGTTATAAAGTGGACGTACATAGGATCGGATGTCCTTTCAGAGAGTGAGCGGCGGGAACGCGTTGGCGTGGCATGGCGAGGCTTGCTATTTTAACCTCACTTTGCCTAGGTCAGGTCGATGTCAAAGGATTAATTGGACGGCGGTCTCGCGTCGCCAAAATATTGCGATGCTTTATTTATGGAAATTCCCCTTTTTAACTTACCCGTGTAAGCTACACTTGATGCACAACGCCTTTGTCTAAGCCGATTATAAAGGACGTAAAGGATCCATGCAAACAGTCACTGCTTTTAGTAGGTACACAGCCTGTGTAACACTGACTATATTTCTAATCATCCCCCCATCTTCAAATTAATGTTTTTTTTCTTAAACCGTATAAAGGGGTTCAACAAGTATTTTAGTTTTTTCAATGATTTTTTAACATCAAACAATTCTTGTTAAAGGTTTTGTTTTTGTTTAAAATGGCGTTGACAAGTTAAAATGAAAACTGGTTACAATGTAAAAATGACGACAATCTTAAACCAGGAAAAGCTTAAATGGTGACAAGCTGAAATAAACGCATGCTTAAGAGGTGATGAGGATAAATGATTATCAGCTAAAATGGTGACAACTTTAAATGACCACAAGATAAAATGTCGATGAGCTTAAATAGTGACAAGCTAAAATATTAATAAGCATAAATGATGTTAAGCTGAAAAATGATGATAAGCTAAAATGTTGACCAGCCAAAGTAATGACAAGATAAAATGCTAAAAGATGAAATGACGACAAGATAAAATGACCATAAAATTAAATGATAATAAGCTGAAATGATGACAAGCTTATATGACGACAAGACTAATTAATGACAAGCTAAAATGCGATAAGGCTGAATAATAAGTTAAAACTACGGCAATCTTAGACCAGGAAAAGATTCAATGGTGACAAGCTGAAATGATCGTATGCAAAAGTGGTGAAAAGCCTAAATGATTAACAGCTAAAATGGTAACAACTTTAAATGACCTCAAGATAAAATGACAAGCTTAAATGATGACAAGCTGAAAAACGATGACAAGCTAAACTGTTGATCAAACAAAGTGATAACAAGCTGAAAGGGTGAAAAGATAAAATGACGACAAGATAAAATGACGATAAGCTTACATAATCACAAGGTAAAGTGGTGACAAAATGAAAGCCCAAATTATGACAAGCTAAAATGCGACAAGATAGAATTTCGCTGAAATGATGACAAACTGAAATGACAACAAGCTTAATTATTGACAAGCTAAATTGCTACAAGGCTAAATAATAATAAGTAAAAATGACGACAATCTTATACCAGGAAAAGCTTAAATAGTGACATACTGAAATCCGAAAAGCTTAAATGACCACAAGATATAATGACGACAAGCTAAAATATTCATAAGCTCAAATGATGACTAGTTAAAATGTTGACCAGCCAAAATAATGACAAGCTAAAATGGTGAAAAGATGAAATGTCGACGAGATAAAATGACGATAAGCTCAAAGGATGACAAGCTAAACTGGTGACAAGATGAAAGCCTAATTTATGACAAGCTAAAATTCGACAAGATAGAATCTCGACAAGCTTAATTGATGATAAGCTAAAATGACTAAAAGCTTAAATGGTGACAAGCTAAGTTTAAATAAATCATTACAGACTAAAATGTTGACAAGATAATAAATTATTTTTATTAGTTTTAAACCATTCATTATATTTAATAAAATTAAAAACGTAAATCATGCTAATAAAAATTAAAAAAAAAAAACAACTGAAAGAAATGTTTCATAAACCAGTATTGTTAAGACGAGTTTCATAAAGACAATAAGAGGATGCTTAGTTAGAATCATATTCATTTATGAAGACAATAAGCTGTGTAGTAACTGTTATAATTTTGATTTTATTCCAGTTGTTTAATACTGACTATAATCTAGATGCATATTGTTTATGAAATGATTTCTTGCAGATATAATATATTTTAAATTATATTTTTTTTATAAGAACTATAATATGTCTTATACCTACTGTTTAATAGTCGTCTTTATAATCTATGAGACAAGATATTCCGCACATACGCATGGTGCATTGTTTTGGCGGGATCACTATAGGGGAGATGCGAACTGACCGCAAGGAATAAGTGTCTGGGGCTGTAGTGTTTTGTTTATTTGTTGTGACATCTTCTGGCTCTAATAGCTGGAAATTGTTAAGGGTAAGTTTTTGTAATATACATCATGATACGAGCATAAGCCTTAGTTTAATAAAGGTTTATACCTTGATCTTGGAACAGCACAATGAGCTGAGCACGTGGACGCCGATGCAGTTATACGAAAACTGTTTTTATTGATTCCCATTATAATAATTTATTAATTTTACATTATAGTGTAAAGGGTGAACTACGTGGTTTATAAGGATATAGGTATCTCAGAAACTACTGAAGTCACTAAAAATAATAGCAAAAATTGTAAAAATTTACCAATCAAGAGCAACATTATTTAGAAGGGTGGACCTGGGAACATTTGGTTTAAAATTGTTTATTATTTATATTCTAAATTAAACTATATTTTATTTATATACAATTAATAACAATGTTAATATAATATTAAAAATATACTACCTACATAATTTTTTGTTCTCTACACATTTTTTGGGACAGTAGTTTCTGAGATAAGTATATTGGTCCCCTTACTTGGTTCACCCTGTACCTACCTACATATTTTAGTATTTATTGGATAATAGTTTGAAAATAGGTAGTTTATTTTAGTACTTTGTTTTAACATAAATTTATAAGGTTGAGATTTAAATTTAATTACATGGTTAAAATTAAAGATTTAAATCATGATTTTAATCAAGGGATTTTAATAAAAAATCATGATAAAAATTAATTAAAAAATAGCCCTAAAAAACAAACGATTTTACTAAAAATTAAAAGAATACATTTTCCAAATAATAATTTTAAAAAATTGCAGTGACACGCTGTGGGGTTTTTGTAAGTAGGAATATTTTTACACTTGTTTTATTTTCTCCCTTGGCAAGTTTCGACATGCAATATTTTGATTTACTTCTGTTCTTTTTTATACCTAATTATGTTTATTCATGATTTATTTATTTCTTGTTGCTGTTTTTTATAATACAATTATAAAATTTATTAAAGTTGAACTTTTTATATAATGACCCTTATCCTGTCAGCAAGTAAGTATAATAATTCTTATGAAAAATGCATAATTTCGAATATAGTTACTTTAATAAAATATGTCTTATATATAAGACTAAATTGCCAATAAAGAGAATATAAGTTAGAGTTTATAAAAAGTATTACCCACTACATTAAATTAATAAAAATTTTCAAATACACATAGCAATCTGAAGTTATACTGGCTAAAAAACATTTAATACTCGATATAAAGCGGGTTTATAGTATAGTATAAGATTTTGATTATATCCACTACATCATTTTATGGTGGCACCATATCGATTTTATAAGAGATAATAGTATGTCTAATAACTGTTACAAGATGTTTTAACAAAACCGAGTTCATACTGTCTATGAACTAGTTGGCTGTCCTAATACTAATAGAGAAATCTTATAAGGAGTATTATATTTTTCATAACAGGTATTAGATTTTTCCCTCAGTATACTTACCTAATCAGAAAAGGTATAAGATATAAAAAGCGGCATAATAAATTAATGTATATATAATTATTGTATATACCAATACATCTTAACATAAATTATCACAGTACTCATTAACCACATATTTATTCGTCAAAGGTTGGAGGTGGTGGTGGTGGTAAATTTCCCCCCTTCTTCAACCTCTCCTGCAACCTGCTGCAGGATTTTGGGTCTTTGATCTGTTCGGTAGGACAGCTCAACTGGATTTCCTTGAACATGCAGTGCATCAACTTTAAACCTGCAGGATTGCAGGCGTTTGCTTCGCTGTCCTTATCGTCCTTAACCTTGGAATCAGCAAGGCAGGTTTCGATAATTTTGTCCTGCAAAGGTTGAAACCAAGGCTCGTTGGCGAATGCGGATTTGACGTGTTGAGTAAAGTCTTCTTCTCTTACATTTCCTGCGTCATCCAGCTAAATGCATACGAAAATAATTATTATCCGGAATCGGCAGTAAAGTAGTCAACAATCGGCAGTAAAGTAAAAGAAATCGGCAGTAAAGTAGAACTTTATATCCGATTTAATACGAGTATTGTATGCAACCCATTATACATTTTAAGATGTGTCTACTGCTCCTCAGCAGCAACTAAATAATATTTTTAAAAAGCACCGTTGCGGAGGTCGATTGGACCCTTTCATAAAATGTTGTTTGATAAAAATTATAAGTTAATTTTATTAATTAGATTAAAAGCTCATTCACATCCACTTAATACGCGTAACTTAACGTACGTGATAGACGTAAGTTGAAATACATTAAAACCAATGCAGCTGTTTACATTCGTAGAAAACTTATCACACGGAACTTAACGTATCCAAAAGTTGGGTCCGGCTCAACTTAAGGGAATGCGTTTCTTACGTGAGCCAATCACATGTCCAGTAAAACGATATAGCGCTATCTTGTTGTTTCACTTTTATAGATAGATAGGCAACCCAGTCTACATCCATGTCTATATTGCGTTCTTTGCGTGTATTAAGTTAATGTAAACAGACAGACGTAGGTTTCTTAAGTTAAGTTAAGTTAAGTTACGCATATTAAGTGGATGTGAATGAGCTTTAAAAGTTAACCGCGGCGGGCAAATATATAATAACCTTCGAAACAAACAGTATACGTAGACACTTACATTCAAATGACATTTGATTTAATGATCAATATTAATTATTAGTATTATTAAATGTGATTTCGGATAAAATTTAATATGCACCTCGGCATTAAAGTCATTTTTTATCACTCACGTGGTAAATAATTTCAACATTCGTGATAAAATATACGACTTTACTGCCTTGATACCTAAATAACTATTATCACAAAATTTTAACTACATCTGTACGATTCTTGAAGTTAAAATTTGCTTGAAATTAAAAAAAAACTATTAAATTAGTTCCTTTTTTGTTTACTTTTAAATGTTTCCTGCATTATTATTTTTTTCCATGGTATATTTTTGTAAATTACAAAAAAAAAATTGATGGATTTTTTCCCAAAAACAAAATCCCGAATAATGTCAAAATATATTTGGATATTGAACACACATTAGCCAAATTAAATTACGATGTCACAAAGCGATGTTTATCGAAAAAATATGCGGCCCAAATAAAACACAAAAACAGTATTTGTACGTACATATGATTGGTATCTCTAATGGGATTTACCCCAACGTGTTTGTATTTATTTTATTTACACTCAGGTTTCACACGCTCTGCGTTAAATAAATATTTTAAACGCAAATAAAATGAAACTGACAATATTGAATAAAAACGAAAAAATAATCTGACAACATGCTTTACAATTATTAGTATTCTTTTTTAATGAATTTATTTAATATTAATATTATGGCTTTATTCAGTATATGGATTGTGTCACAAATAGGAAAAAATATATTTTGGATTTATCAGACAAAATATTTTAAACAGAAAAACATCTGTAACGGTTTTTAAGTAACTTACATTTTTCTTTACTTTTATGAAAATTGGAATTCGAATAAATATCAAAAATGATAAATAACATCAAAAATGACATAAAATTCGTCAAAAATTACAAAAAACATGTATCAATGATAAGACTTTAAAAATGATAATGATTATAATCATTGGATTTCAAAAGGATAATTTATAGATTTATGGGTTTTTCCATATATAATGATAACCAGTATAACCGCCGCGCCTGATCAGTGATTGGCCGATTTCAATATTCCCTGTGATTTGAACCAATCGGGTTTTAAATTAGGAGAGGCGACTAATAATATTTAAAATTGGTAAAAAGTTAGGTTATCCATCTGACAGATGTCAGATTTTGTTTTTTTTTTAAATTATTTAAATATCTATCAAGAGAGATAATTTTTGGGCATTTTAGTCACGAACTGAAGTTATCTTTATTAAAAATTTCGTAAAAGTCAGGTTAAATTCATTTAAAATTTAATTTTTAAATGTCAAATATTAATGAATTAAAATTGGCTTTTTTAAAAAGTCTTATTTCTGTTCGTCATAGATAAAGTATAGTATGCAACTAGTTTCATACATTTTTCTAGGCACTCGTTTATATTAAACACTTGCTCGCAAGCTTCGCTCGTGCATAATAAAACTCGTAACTAAAATGGCTTTTATAAAACTTGATACAGACTCCATATCTACTTTCCCATTGATAAGCTGTGACTATGGCGTTTTAGTCACGGGCTGGTTAGCAACAGTGGCTTTTGGGCATTTTAGTCACGGGCTGAAGTTAGCTTTATTATAAATTGGGAAAAAGTTAGGTTCAATCCGTTGACAGTTGACAAATGTTTAACAAATAAAATTAGCTTTAAATTCTTTTTTTTGTTCGACGTAGATAAAGTATAGTTTTATAAACTTCTCTAGACACTCGTTTTTATTAAACACTCGCTCGTAACCTCCGCTTGTGCCCAATAAAACTAAAATGACGTTTAAAAAACTTTATACATAATATACTATTAATGGTGTTTGTAAAAAATAGGATATGAGCTAAAAGTGATTTTATTTTGTTTTTCAACCAGGTCAAAAAAATATTCTTTTTTCTACTTATCAGATTTCGACATTTAATAAAAAAATATAATAATACCTATTTTGCAAAAATATTATAATTATAAATAAAATCTTTTAGACATTTTTGCAAACAGAATCTAGAAAACAAGTATTTGCATTTTAATTTTGCTCAAAAAATACAGAAACGAGACTTTAATATTGTTTTTTTTTAATTTGTTTTTAAAATTTGCATTATTACTTTAAACACATGTTGCGAAACAGGAAAAAGGGTTAATTTGATTTATTTAATATTTTGCATCGTATTTACTATGAGTATGTAGTGCGTAATAAGAAAATTGCCAAAGGAAGTATGTGATTATTGTACTGTTCCAACTTACCAAGTTCTTTTTCTGACCAGAGCATTGAGCCAAACACTATAAAAAGAAATAATTAAAAAAATATTTTTTTCTAAAAAATCTTAGTTTTGCAAAATTTATTTTTAACAACCTTGAATAGCCAAAAATTCTAAAAAAAATTGTTCGTTTTTTTAAAGAACTTAAAATCTCTAAAATACTTACAACCATATCCTTCCTATGCTTCTCTACATTCTCACACTTAAAATGATCGAAATGCTTTCCATCAAATGCTTGCATATCTTCGCCCTGGTGAAGTTCCTTGAAGCAAGCCCGTTTAACTTCCTTATCTTCCTCGTGAAATTGATCCCAAACAATTTCGCCGCAACACAATTTCTTCCTTCTTCCTCTGCACTTGTCTTGCATAACCGCCTCCTCATCCCTGCGGTTTCTAGCGTTCAAAGAGGGTTGCTCCAGGGAGCTGTACAGCTCTTCTAGGTCTTCTGAGAGAAGACTGTCTAAAAGTTAAAAATAGATAAATCTTTGGTAAAAAGTAGATTTTAAGGCTAATATGTAAAAAAGATGTTTTCAACCTGTTTATGAATTATTAATTAAAAATCTTTAATTAAGATTTTAAGGTTTTGCTTATTGTGAATTTTTACCTAGGTTATAAATTATTGTGTTTCGTATTATTATTGCTGGGGTTATTTGGATTTTACAGTTCATTAAAATATTATAGATATTTATACCTATGATGTTTGTTCCCATATGGATAATCAAAGTTATATTGGGCGTATTTCACGTGAAATCCACATATATCATTTGTTTTTTCGATGTAATTTTTGGTTTTGAAAAATTTTTAAATACATGTCTTTATGGTTTTTTAGTCACGGACTGAAGTTAGCAACATATTTTTAGTCACGGTCTGAAGTGCTTTTTTTGTAAAATAATACTAAATGTGAAAATTATTAAAAAAATTATATCAAAGTTTGTACTGACCTTTTGATTTCGCCGTATTAGTGCAGTTAACTAGTTTTAACTGATAGAGCGTACAGTGCTCATAAAACAATATTTTCTCTTTTACTGTGAAAAACTGCTTCTATATCGATTGTTAGTCTATTTTCAAGGGATAAATTTTTATTTAACAGGAAAATTTGAGATTTTGACGCCGGTAGATTACCAAGTAAGAAATTCTAACGGGAATTTCAATAAATACAACTGTCACTGTTAATTTGTATACCTTTAACATTTCCTGTGTAAGAATTTTTAATACTTTGATATAATATTTTGCAATTAACATAATCATATTTTGAAGTTATTTAATTAAAATTATAACGGGCAATATAAATGTAAAAATTATGTCAAAAATGTTTATTGGGATGGTTACTTTATTTTCTATAGATGTCGCTTTGTACAAATATTAGCTAAAATGGCTTTTATCAAACATAATATTCTATTATTTCTCTAACATTGACGAGCTGTGATTTTATGGCGTTTTAGTCACGGACTGAAGTTAGCAAAATTGTCTTTTGGACATTTTAGTCACGTCCTGAAGTTAGCTTTATTATAAATTGGGAAAAAGTGAGGTTAAATCCGTTGACATTTGACAAATTTCAAATGTTTAACAACAAAATTGGCTTTAAATTCTTCTTTGTGTTCGTCGTAGATAAAGTATAGTATGCAATTCGTTTTATAAACTAGACACTCGTTTTCATTAAACATAGCTTGTTAAGTTAATACATAATATGTATACTATTTTTTCACATTTTTTTCCTTAATCTCCTTAATTAATATTATAAAAATTATTAGATGTCTTAAAAAGTGAATCGATTTTTTTGGTATTTTTTTAGTTTTACCTACAAGCTTTTTCACGGTGCGCTTGGATAAGGTTCAACTCAAATATTTTCTCCATTATATTTATTTCTAAATTTCTATTCTATATTATAAGAATTAAGTCATTTGAGCTAAAAATAAAAATAATCTATGAAAGGAGTAAAAAAAACTAAAGTTTTTGCAGGTTAATTTTTCTAACTAAGTCCAAAACCATACAGCGTTAAAAGTTTTTGGCTAAAATCTTTGTCCGCTAATCGCAAACAATAATTATTAAATTTTACTTAAGAAAATTTAATTTAAATTTTATAATTTGGAAAAAACAACGAAAATTCATGTTTCTGTCGGTTTTTACTATGAATCACCACACTTTTTATTCTGAATGCAGAGATTATAACATTAATTTTAAAGCAAAAGAAATTTCTCATAAACCAGTTTTGAATCAATTTGTATATCTTGCTTATAAGGAGATGGGGCCATCAGTATTTTAGAAAAAGAGATAAAAAATTTGCAAATATCGAAAAATACATTTGTTGGTAATTTTATAAAATAAAGTTTTTAATTATTAAGATTAATTAATATACTCACTATACTCTGAATCGTCAAAATCGTAACCGGTAACGGCTGAAACAGCCACAGTTATAACTGCAAATAATAAAACTATCTTCATGGTCAGAGAATAATCAAACAACGGATACTAAATCTGCGATGTTGAATTACTCTTTATATACCAATTGAAAATTGGTTGTAAATATCACGTGGTCTCACCTGTTGTTGGCTTAATATTAGTAAAAAATTCGGCTACAAAATATTAATAATTGCCCGACGGGAAGCAATTTTATATTTATTAAAATACAAATTTTGACACGATTATTTATTTAAATTAATTATATAGCGGAACGAATGCTAGCTAATGTATTTTTTTTGAAATGTGATTCACCCATAATAGTACAGTCAATCTGTAGAAAAAAATTCCTGACCGGCTGGATGTGGGATTTTATTTCTGGTGGTCTAAAGGCTAAAATGCCTAATTACCGTGCTACCCCCATTTAGAGCTTTAAGTTTTAAGATAATTGTTTAAAGGCATGAATACATAAAATAGGGCTGCATTAAAGTGTTTGAGAAAAAGTTGAATATTTATTTATCGCGCATCATGGCTAAATCGTACTTAACTATATTTTTGCACAAACATCCTGTTTTAGTTTTAAATATATCAGTAATTAATTACATTTTTTATTTTGTTTATAATAATGTTAAAAAGTCAATTTGTTTTATATTTTAAATATCAAGTAGGATTTTTTTAATTACTAATCCTTCTCATACCAACTGTAATAAATATTATTAAGATTAGGATTAGGATCTTTTTTCTACTTCTACCTTTAAACCTTAAATTATATAAGGTATTACCTTTAAGATGCAAGGCTCTCAGCTATGGAAAAATTAAGGCAACCATAAAGAAAACCTTGCTCTGTTACTGTTTTTATTCGGTAGACGAATATGTCATGAAAATGGGTCTTTCAGACTTTCATCAGCGTTTCTTTCTCAATTAAACCCTGTGATATATAATGCTTATGCTGTAACTTGTATGATCTATGTCTCATGTTTTTTACATTTTTATTTTATCTTGACTTGCCAAAAATGTTAAATAATGTGGAAAAATAAATAATTTGATTTGATTATGCCCATTATTGTACATGGTCCCTGACATTTACAAGCTGTAACTTTATGGCGCTTTAGTCACGGGCTGAAGTTAGCAACAGGTTTTTAAACACGGGCTGTAGTTAGTTGACAGTTGTCAAATGTCAAACAATCGTTAAAATACATATCCTAATACATAGTTTCTTGGCGCAAATATTTGAAAAGATTATATGAACGTTTTTACTGACCTTTTGATTTCGCTGTAGTAGTGCAGTTAACTAGATTTAACTGATAGATCGTTAAAAATTTTGTGTACAGTGCCCATAAAACATTCTCTTCTATTTTATTGTGAAAAACAGTTTCTATATCGACAGTCTATTTTTAAGGGATAAATTTTAATTTACACAGAAACATTTGAGATTTTAACGCCGCGCAGGTAGATTCCAATAAATAACATTTCCCGTGTAAAAATTTTTAATACGTGAAAATATTTTGCAATTATAGTAATAAAAAGCATAAAATATTTTCTTAACATAATCATATTTTGAAGTTATTTTAATATTTTAGTAGTAGTATCAATAATTGTTGGGTTTAATTAAAATAATAACGGGCAATGGTAATGGTAAAAATTACGTCAAAAATGTTTATTCGGATGGTTACTTTATTTTCGTATAGATGTCGCTCTATACAAATTTATTTAATTTAAATAATTTCTCAGATAATATTAAGTATTTGTGGTAAAAAAAGTATAGGATGCAACTCGTTTATAAACTTTTCTAGGCACTCATTTAAGTAAGCACTCGCTCGCAAGCTTGCTCTTGCCTAAAATGGTGTTTATCAGACTTGATACATAATATACTATTATAAGCGTTCAATCAAGAAATACTTCATATTAATACTGCTTCAAAAGTTCAATTATTATTAAACTCCGTACAGAAATAAAGCTAACATGTCATCATGTCAGTTATACCTAACCTTAATGTTACAGAATCTAAAGAAATTCTTGAAAAAAATACATAAAACTTGGCGAAAGCCTATTAATTGTCTCGCACACAATCTGAAATGTATCCTCTGCCTGGTCTATAATGTACTATTATACAAACAATTTGTGATATTGTGAAAACGTATTAAAAAATTAAAACTTTTATTTTTTCAATTAAAATAGTTAATTAATTATACTTAGTAAGTAAAGGTAAAAAGATCAAAAAATAATAGTTCGCAATAAAAAGTAAGCAAAGGGTGCTTTTTGACTATCTAAAAATGCATTAAAGAATAAAAACGTTTAGTCTGTTTAGTCGCACTTATAGACATTTTTGAGATATGCAAATTTTTTATTTGTCAATTTTGGTTTTAATTAGATTTAAAAAAATATATATATAATAAACGAAATGTTGTTAACTTTGGAGCCCTCTATATTTTTTGGAACTAAATACAGAAAGTTTTGCCTGGAAACAAATGTTTTAAAAATTTCAATCTGTACAGTTTTGTCCTGGCACTTTTTTGTTTGACCAATAGGAAACGAGATAAAACGATTCTTTTTTTATCAAAAAGGGAAATTTGTTTTCCCAGCTTTTTGAGTGTCAGGCATACCATATCCAAAATCCAGCTTGGATTTTTTTTCTTAGTCAAAATGTAGATTGACTATAAAGCAGTAAAGTTATAAAACATTGTAAAAGTTGAAATGATTTTAGGGAATTATTAGTAATTTTTAAAATTATTTTATAATTTTTTATTCCCGTAATACTATTCTTTTTAGCCAGTAAATATAATTTTAATTATTCAACTGTTTTGCGTAAATGTTGTTCATTTCTACTTTGCTGTAAGTTAATTTTCTTAAAGCACCCAGTTAACCTCAATTTAACCGAAAAAATTTCCCGGAAAAGTTTCCATTTTAACCGTAAAATAAAAGCGTTTGGCCTCATATTTCATTTTTCCGGAGCCCTGTTTATATGTTTTCGCACTAATTAGTTTTTCTTTGCGGCCGCCTTCACTGTACTAAGGTGTTTTAAAATTTGAAAGTTTTTATATTCATTGTTTTAACCATCATTCACGTCTTTAATTTATTTTATTCAAAAGTTTTGTTTAAAATAAGGATTCTTTTTTAATTTTGTTTCATACGAATTGTTTATATAATATATAAAAGGGAGATATCATATTTTATAATAAAAATATCGAATAAAATATTTTTATTAACGATTGAAACAACATTTCATATTGGTAAATTCATTGTTTGGTTCATTTTAAAACAAAACCGATAAATTCCCCGAGTAGTCAAAAACTCGTTCGTTTATTTTTTATTGTTGAAAAAATCGAGTTAGTTTTAATTGTAAATCGTTTTCAAAAAAATGCGAAACAATCAAGTGAATTTTGTGTATATCGTCGCCTGTGTGATTTTTTGTTTTTGTTCGCCAAATTAATGGCTTTCGTCTGCGAAATTTTATTAAAGTAATAACTGTAATAAATTTAATAGATCTTTATCACGTGCGATTTATTTTATGGCGTGTACATCTACAAGTAATTACCTACGATTTTCGATGATGTATCGCCGCCAGATATATTTGTCCTAATCGTGTTCACTAAATTAGAAATTTTTTTCTCGAGTGTCCAAGATGATTTAAAAGTTTTAAATTGAAAGATTCCTGTTGTGTAATAGTCTAACCTTGAACTTGTATTAGAATGTATGCTCTTATATCACTGGTCGACAAAATTATTTTTGTGCCACACGGTGGTCAATACATTTTTTAGGGTAATTTGGGTGCGCTGATTCTATAAATGAATAATCATTATCAATTATATTCCACCAAATAAATTTTTATCTATTCTATACATCAAAATAATGGCTCACAGAATATTTGAGCTTTTTTAAAATATTAAGTACTTTTTTAAAATATTGAGTACTTTAGTAGTAATGATTTTTCCAATTTTGATGACATTTTTGCAGGGGTCACATTTAAAAATAAAATTATACGCATTTGTAAAATCGTTTTTTACCCAAAATTGGACAATTTTTTAAATTTAAAGTAGTGTAACACCCCAGAAGCAAAAATGACCATTAATATAATTTTGACCCGCGCGGTTTTTTTAGTAATATTTTTCCAATTTTTATTTAATGGCATTAAAATTTTAACAAAATATAGTAGATAGATATCGATAACAAACTTTGTACATTTCATTCAAATCAGACAAAATTGTTCTTGTTTTTTATTTTTTTTTAACAGGGAATAACTTTATTAGTGTGGATAATTTTTTATCATAAATCGGATAGGGGCTTATCTTAAAAGGAAATTTGTACCACCTGACCATTTTTTCTTACAAAGATATAGACAAAAACACACTGTTTTTAGTTTTTAGGGAATATAAAGTTTCCAATAATTGTTGTCTGAAGTATTTTTTGTTTAAACAAAATATAGTTAGTTAAAATAAAAAAATTGATTTTATCTCTTGGTTTTTTTTCACTTTCTTGATAATATTTCGCAAACAGATTTTATGATAAATTACAAAGTGGAATGAACTACCCCTATGGATTTTGAGCCGCTGAATCCGAATCCGGTCTCAGAATTTCTCCTGGACCCACCAGATTTCCCCTAGCCTAGGGGAAATAGTATACTCACATTTAAAGTTCATTCCACTTTTTTTTTGTGGGCCTGTGTTATTAGAGTCTCAGGCTCCTTTTCATATTGTTTATGATCGTTTGACTGTGATTTTTTTTCGTGGAAGTGTCGTGTCGTAGGTCTGGCCCTTTTTAGATTTGCTGTATCTTGTTTATAGAGGTTGGTAAATCAAACATATGAGTACATTAGATGCAAAACTCTGTATTTGCAGGATAAGTGATTTTAAGAAAAACATGAAAAACCGCTCATAAGATCATTTTTGAAAAAAAAAAGGAAAAATTGTATAGACGTGCTTTTGCATCATTTTTATTAAAAAAAAGTAAAAAAAAATCCTTTAAAATTAGGTAGTTTGATTAATTGGTAACAATTTGTTATGTCGTCACGTAATGTGTATACTAGCGACGTGATTGGTCTACAGCATCCGACAGGAAGAAACAAATACCCAGTTTTGCATCTGCGTTAAGTTTTTAAAGTACATAAATAGGATAAAATATATATTTTTTAAAAAT